GATCATGTACAAATTTAATGATAAAAGCCTAGCAAGATACAGATACAAACAAAAGCAAACCCCCTGAAACCTCGACCTGGGCTACACTTGTATGCTCTACTCAGTCACCAAACCTTGTCAGTAATATCCCCCATTTTCCTCAAGTTGGTCTTTGTGAAGCTCCCGATGGGATGTCCCGGTGAAACTTTGAACTTGTGTGCGAAATTCTCTAAGTTCCTATTTTTGTCCGTGTCTTCTTTATCCCCAGTATCCGAAATTTAGACCTCCAAAGTGGCGTGTGTTGCATTATAAATAGAAGGAAATATTAAAAGGAAAAGCCAGTCTTTTAATATGGCAAAGTTGTCACGTCCCTCGCTCATGGACGTTCATTTCTTAACGTCAGGATTGATCTGACATTCGTCGGCAACTGAGTTGTTCGCTTCAGTGAGTACGACAGCTTACAGTCAAGTCGTCAACTGGTGAAATACTTTGCTCATAAATTCTGCTTATTAATTGCTCATGTACTACATCGATCGATAATTCTAGTTCTCTCTTTGAGTTCACGAAACTGCCCCGGCGTTCCAAAGCTGACGCTCACAGTCATCTTTTAGTGTGAACCTACCGTGAACGGCGTGTGGGTTTGTATGCAACGTGAGCATTTCTCTGAGTTTCCCAACGCCAACATCATGATCATCAACTGACTTAAACTTCAACAATGACAAAACTTATAAAGTGACTCCTATGATCGAATCGCTTCGAACAACGCAAATAGCCTTCTTCCGGTTCGCAACGCCTTCTGGGTTTTCCAGGGGGGCGGAGACGAGGTACAAAAAGTATTCGTGCAAGAGTCCGTGCAAGATAAAATCATATGAAACCATTTGTGAGAACATCGTTTCTCGGTACCAGACCCTCGTGCCTTCCCTCCCGCGGGAGGCCGTTTTTCTGCACCGACGACCGAAAACCGAATTTATGACTGGGCTTGCCGGGCAGCCCAGTAAAAAGCTACTGTTTTAAAAGAAAGAAATTAGCGCTTAAGTGGGCCCCACTTTTCAAAGAAAATCGCGTGAAGTAAAAAAATGTTGGTGATATTTTTGACTGAAATTTCTGGTATCAGCACAGCAGTAAAAGCCGGTGAAGATGCATTGAAATACATGTTAAAATGTATCTAGCAGGAGCTTCAGCCAAAACTGCTGAAAGATATTTCAGAAATGGCGGCGAACAAGTCATTTGACTGCAGAGCAAGATTTGGAGCAATTTATAGTGGTTCTAAAACTAAAGAGTACCTTTTCAAGAATGACCGACCGGGTGAGCTTTTCTAGTCCGAGGGTCAATTCATTCCCGGAAAAATCTCTTACTATCGAGTTAACGGAATTGGCATTTCCATTCTCTTGCATTGCCAAAACGCTGATCGATGTGTGCTTGTTCGATTTTAAATCATCATAACCTCTGAATGCCGCACTAAAAATCAAGCAAAATAATAACAAATGTATATCAAATATATTTTCATGAGTTAGAATTTTGGTTGGGCTGGTTTAGCAGCGTACCAGTATTTTTAGATCAACTCATCCTGATTTTGGCATAATTGTAATTAGTATATACACACTCAGTGATCTTGGTGATTTAAGCAATCTGATTGGTTCACTATCTGGGACTATTCTACAATATTCACCTCCTAGCGAGTGGATTATGTGTGAGTTCGGTGTTTTCCCCATTTTTTCGGAGAACGATCTTTTAAAGGTCCACAAAATCCTTAAGGGTTGACTTTTTTTTAAGCCAAGACAAGACCTCGAAGGATGTTCGGCGTTTTTCCATTTACTGTAGGTGAGTTTATGGCTCGATGGATTGTTTACAACTCCCGTTTATTCCGGTAGGAGAGGCCATTTCGTGAAGTCAGCGTTTATTTATGACAAACAAATTTGAAAGCAAATGTTTGCAAAAATTCTGCCTTTCAAGTAAATAGGAAAAACAATGCTACATGAAGACGACGTCTTACCTCGAGCAACCGAGACACAATATTTTATTAGCACTTTAATTCTAAGGTAAGGAAACAGTTCAAACTTTTAACGGTTCCATTTAAGCCATTACGCTGTCGTTTACGTAGTGATAAACAATAAAATTGTGTGCATGAATAGACCTTTTTACCGATACGGCGGCCATATTGAATTAATTCGATTTAGGGAGTATTATAGGATGCCCAGGGGGCATGAGCACATTTCGTTTGTATTTATAATGATCGCCTTTTTCTAGTTTAGTATTAGAAAATTTAATATGGTCTTTCACTGTATATTTCTCGGGAAAAAAGGCGATCATTATTACATCCAAACACAGCACAAGGATAATTTTTCCCTTTAGAATCTTATTCTAAGAAAACTTTAAGAAAAAATGTCCCGAAAAGCGCGCGAAAATACAAACGAAATGTGCTCATGCCCCCTGGGCATCCTATAATACTCCTTAAATCGAATTTATTCAATATGGCCGCCCTATCAGTAAAAAGGTCAATTGCCATGTTTGAAAATTCTGCAAAGATCTATTTTTTAATTTAAACCTTCGCGTGATTTGATCCGTCAATCAAATCGTACTTTTTAATGGTTTCCTCTTTGATTTTTTTGACGTGTGTATATACTAAAACAATTATTCTTTTCAATCTCGGTGTATAGTGGCATTAGGAAAATTTACCTCGCCGCTTCGCGCCTGGGTAAATACTTAGCCACTATTCACACCACCATTTCCAAGAATAATTGTTAAAAATTTTTGTGTGGAATACATTAATACCGATGACGTCATAAATTTATCTCATGTATGAAATTCGCAGGAATCTTATTAAAATAAGGTCGTGTGATATTTTTAGTTCGTTTTTCAGGAGAAGTGATATTCGCTGCCTGCTAATCATAAAACCAAGCCGATCGACAATTTTGAAATGTACTCTGCGTTTTCGAAACAATATAACTCCCTCCAAACCTTGCTTTGAGGTCGAGTGATTGATTCTTTTAAATCTTAAGTTTCGTAGGCATCACGTTAAACGAAAGAAGTTATAACAAAAAGTTTGTCATAGTTTACTGAACCTTTATTAACAAAGGAGCCACATTAACTGAAGTCAATGCACTGTCTTTTAATATGAATAAATCATCGAACCAGGAAGTTTTCTTGACTTTTTCAGACCTGAACGACTCCTGTGTGCGCCCGTTGAGTTCTTTGAAAGCCTTTAAAGTTTTGCTTTAACAAGCATGTCTTTTAGCGATTTTTCTTTCCTAATATAAGAGAACAAGGGAGGCTCCTTGAATATCTCTCTTAGTCACGGCTGGTTGTATATTAGATGCCATTTGTCCATAAGTATGTTTTTCAAGTTTGGAAATGACGGTTGAAATTTTGTGATAAAGGGTGGAATCTTTTTGTGCGTTCTCAATTTTTCTTTAGAGCTTCCTGCCTTTCGATTCATGTTTAACTTCTTAGAGGATATTATCTACCTTTCGGCCCGGTTAGCCCCTAAAGATAAGGCGCGTTTTCAAATTTCTTAGGTTCTTCTCGACAATAGCTTTGGAAGAGTTTGTTGATCTTTGTTCTAAGAAGCCTGAGAGATTCTCCTTTGGCAAAACCTTTCAACTTTCGCTAGGTTACAGCTATTCAAGTGTGTGCTCTGAAATGTTTCAACAGGCCAAAAATGTGTACGCACTTTCTCAATAACAAGTTCTATATCTTCCTGATGCATGAGTACAACCACAAGATACCTTTCCAATGCTTTATTCAATCAACAACCTAACTTGGCAACTACATTTAATTTCGTTACATGCAGTTTGCTCTTAACGGGACACGTGAGCTTTCCATAATACCGTTGGGCTTTCAATCACAAGTTAAGCCCCAGGACGTCTAGTTGGCCGGTGCTTCAGGCAATACTTCAACAGTCTTTTGCAAAGTTTCTGCGTGAAAAAGAAATAAACTGTGTGAATTTTTTAATACTTCGCCGGGCGCGATACTTCAAAAACTATTTTAATTTCTATTTCTTATCACATGCCAGGATTTTCATTGATTGAAGTTGCGTCTCTTTGTCATTTGACGCCAATCATCATTGAAAAAAGAAAATGACTGTTTTGTTGACATACGGGTAAAACTACCGCGGCTGAAAAACGTATAAACTAAAGAGCTCGCCGGGAAACCATAAAAACATACATCTAATAGTCGCATTAAAAAAAAAAATGCATGTAAGCTAACTACATCAAACTGCTTTGCGTTTGCTGCAAAAATACGTCTCCACATCCGAGCAGTCCAAGTGTTGAAAATGAACACAAGAAAGATCTTACCCCGATGGATCCTGTGGGACGTGGACGGCGGCTTCGTGGCGTACGGGTGGGCCTCCTCAAGCAACGCTTAATAACTCTTTTACACTTTTTAAGAGAAAAGAAGTAAAATATGTGAGTTTTACAACAATAGCTCAATGGTACGTTACTGTTTATATTAAAACACCGTTTGCTAGGATTTTATTAATCAGTGATGCTACTCTTTATCACTTGATACCAATCGTCAGAAATAAGCGACGGCTACGTTTTTAACAGAACGGTTATCGCGCTAAGATATTAACTAAATAAAATACGCAATTTCCTGGTTGAGCGAGCGCGATTATCTCGATGCACTCCCGAGGACTCCACACAGAGAACCTATCTTACCAGCTTTCTTGAAGGACGGCGACTTGGTCTTGGACGACGACGGGGGTCATTCTCCACAGAGAGAACCTATTTTGTAAGGGCGTTAAAAGTAATCTTAAACAAATTATTAAGTTAATTCTCCACATGCCAGTAGTCTGTTTAAAAATGGAGACAAGGGAGGAGATCTGATACCAGCTTTCTTGAAGGACTTGGCCTTGGAGGACGACGGGGGTCATTCTCTTCATCATCTTCATCAGCAAGCTCGGTTATGGTTTCATCCTCCTCTTCATCTAAGTACTCCTGGACTGCCTCATCCTCAACTGGCTCCTCAGCCAAGGTAAAGACTACCGCTCCGAGAAACAGGAGTAGAATTAGAGATTTCATTTCGGAAACAATATTCACTGCTGAATATCCACTAGCAATGTAACCAGCATAGCTTTTCGGGCCCTTTTTATTGATCCTTTACGCTGATGAACGTGAGGCATATGACAAAAGCATGTCAAACACACATCATTTGATTTCTGTTTATTTTTAGTCAGGCGCGAAGTTAATAATTATCTTATTGACTCTTATATCAACAGCTGGGATGTTTATCATCTTTGCCCTTTGTGGGCAGTTGTGTATTTTTTCGCCCGGCAAACTCCCTTTGTTCAATCTTATGTTTATTTTGCGCACAGTCCAAGTTCCAGTTTATTTCTCACTGTTCAAGTTGATACTGCGACAGTATAAGATGGTTTACAGAATCAGTAGGTTAACAAATGATGAAAAGTAAATCTAATATACAGGTTTGCTGATATGTGCACATTGACCAAAGTAGCGGAAGCTTTCTTGTTGGTCACTGTCCCATTTAAGTAACTAGAGGAGTCGAAGATATAATTGTGAGGTAATAATAAATTAGGGTATAGAGAGTACTTGTTTATATCGAATTTTTCTAGACGTTATGATACAGTGCGATAAAATGCTATCAGTTAAAGTTGATAACAAAAAAAGGCGTAAAAAGCAGAATAAAATTACCTAATTATATTTTACTATTGCAAGCGTTAAGGTAAATATTTTACTTTGCCTTTGAGACGTTACTAAAATATTTAGTACAGGTGCATTGCCGCATGTGCTCGACAAAAACCTGTGTACACTTTTTGGACAAAAGGGGGAGTGGGATCAGCTGGGAAAGGTGACCGTAAGTTAATTAAGGTCGCATGTATAGCACGAGTGGTAATTACATTATGACCTGTAACTAGATAACTGAACTGGAAAGTGCTCTTTGAAAGGATTTCTCTAAAGAAAAGATGTAGCCATGGGCTGTTAAGGTGGCCCCGTTATTAAGGTCGAAAGTTTCGCCATATATTAACTTTTTCGGTTTTAACGCGATGGCTACGATATTTTGGGAAGAATTACTAATATCATCCGGCAATAATATGAATTAAAAATCCGATTTTACCAGTGGTAAATATTTTTTAGGAAATAAGCGCTCAAGTGTTAAAAAAGCAGTTTTGGCTGAAAATGCTGCTACATACATTCTAATGTATTTATTACAATGCAACTTCATGGGCTCTTACTGCTGTGCGTTGCTTCCAATATGGTATACTTTTTATATCAATAAAAGCCGATAGCAGAAATTTCAGTCAAAAATATCAGCAATTTTTTTTACTTGCTGCGATTTTGTTCGAACAGTAAGGTCCTCTTAAGCGCTTATTTCTTTATAAAAAATATTCACCACCAGTAAAATGGGATTATTTCATATTATTCCTGAATGATATCTGTAGTTCTTTCTAAATTTATTATAGCTTTTGTAAAATTAAATGTGGTTGTGTAAAACTACTCGGGGTATTGTGTTCCAATTTTGGTAACCAGAGCCAAAAATATATAATTTTAAACGGAATGCGGATTCTTGGCTGCTCCTACGGCTGCCATGACGTCTTTGTGAGGGTGGGGGGAGGGGCGTGTAGTGCTTTATTTAGCCTATACGGGGATGGACCGCTAGAGAGGGTATGGTTTTTGACCTCTCTGTCCTAAACAGGGTATATAATTTCGCGCGAGTCTGTCCTAAACAGGGTATATAATTTTGTACGAGTCCGGTCCTAATTGTAACAGGATGACAAAACCGATGACTGCAACGTGAATCAGGAGCCCATCAAATGGAGCCTCCATCTCCCATACAAGCCCTTGGAGTCAACCCTTTCCCAAGTAGATTTATAATTAGAACGGTTCCCGGGGGAGACTTCGCGCGCCGACGGTGGGAAGAGCCAATCACAACGACGAAATGACACTGCTATTGTACTTCATCAAACAGCAGGAAATTTGGTGTTGACAGGCCAAACACAATCATAAGCTAGTGAAGCGTGACTTAAGCGTTTTCATCCCTCAGAGATTTTCTTTTTTTTTTTCTTTCTAGCGGGTAGATTATACTGTGGAGAGTTTTAAACTCTGACTATGTAAACTTAATTTTGGTTGCTTGTCTCACATTAAGAGGCCATGAAGCTGGTCTGTTACATGCATACTGATTAACTACTACCCGCAGTCTGTAGTTCTGACAGGATTCGTTTTCTTTAGCCAATTTTTTTGAGCGTTAAGGTTCTTATTTCAGCCAAATGACTCAATGTTAATCAAATTTCTAGTTTTTCAAGTTTTTCTTTTTCGAAATGTGTTTATCTGAATAAATACTTGTGGTCCTTGTGGTTGTTTTGTCCGTCAGCTAGTGTGATGATTCCCTGCTATGTTTTGTAACGCCGGGCCCAGCCATTGTTTTATCGCAAAAAAGTGATCTAGAACTTGTTTGCACATTTTTTGGCTTTAGGTGGCTCCCTGGAGTATTTACTAATAACCCTAGCTATCTAGCATACGTTACAGAAGGAAATCTAATTAATTTGTCTTTGCGATTTTGTTCACGAGATTCACCGCTAAGGTTACCCATATAAGAAGGCTCCTTTATGAAGTTTTATTTTCTCGATTAAGGCCGTTGCCGTGGCAACATCGCATCCTTAAACATGCAGTTAGTTTGTTATTTTTGATCATTTTTTCTTAACATTTTTGATTTCCCTCGGTGAAATGTCTTTAAACTTTGGCACTCTATATTAATTATATTGCTCAGTATTTTAAAGTTGAAAAAGCATAGGGTTGTTGAGACGGTTTTGCCAATATTTTGAAACTTTTAATTTTTCTTAATAAAGGAATTAAGCTCTTACAGATTTTAACAAAAAAGGAACAGTACAAGGTACTGCAACTGTTAAGAATTGAGGCGACTTTTAAAAAGTTTTACCGAAGGAAACGCGAGATATTCACGGTTAATTAACTGCGCTGACATCACAAAAATCCGCAAAACGCGCGTGGCTCAGGGTCGTAAAAACATAATACGCGCGCGAACCATCACGCCCGCATGTGCATAAATGCACATAGCTACCGAAAACATGTGGTTTCTTCGAAAAGTACGAAAGCCATTGTTTAAGCCGTTTATTAGTATTATTCAGGTGATATCTCGCCAGTTGAAAAAGTAGAGATAGCGGATTTAATTTCATACCTAACACTGGATGTTTTCTTCGACGTTCATGACTGTTGTAGCTAAAATTCGAGCGTGGCGGTCACTCGTGCGGATGGCGATCATCGGAGATGAAGAAGGTGGTTGTGCAAGGATCGCAATAAGCCCTTCATTTCCTAATCTGCTGTTCGCTGCGTATGGCTGCTACAGCAGTAAGTAACGACAGCGACCCAAAAACTGCCCTGCCACTGCTTATCACAAGTAAGTTGTCAAAGAACATATGACCAATGTGCCAACAGGAAGGCTTTAACTTAAGGTTTTTACTAAGAAGCACACAACTGCACGGGTAGAAAAATAATGTTTCTGTTTCTCTGCGAGGAGAAAAAAAAAACGGATTCAGCCGTTTTGTTTTCTTGTTTCCTTCAGGTTTGCTATCTTCATTTTCGAAATGCCCGCGTGGTCATATGCAATTATCCCGCCAAAATGCGAAATATGGCGAAGCGTTATCTCGAATACGACATTTTACATTGGCGTACAACGACGGACAAGGGTAGATTGATGTTATAACCAATGAAAGAGAAATGGTAAACATTGCAGTCGTGCAGCCATCGAGCTATGGATGCACGCGGAAGGTTGCCAAGTACGAAAAAATTGTCATGTTGATTGTAAAAAACTTTTATGTCAGCTAAAACGGCTTTTGTAAACTTTTTCTCAGTATTAATACAAAAACCTTTGCAAGCTACAGGGTGTCCCAAGAGTTCTTTCCTCTAATTCAATGCGCAAAATCTTTTGAAAAAACTTTATTTTTACATGAAATTTCTAAAAGATGTTGATTGGTCTATCGGGTTTGTATTCAGAAGTTCAGTAACCGGCATGCTCCCTTTGCTTTTTTATTACTCTCTGTAACCGTTGCGGCATTGAGTGGGATAAGTCATGTAGCATGTAGAGCCCCAAATAACTCATTTTAAGCTTTTTTATCATCTGGTATGCAGGAACCACTTCGACCCCCAAAGAATAATTTTTTTTTAGATTAGGCAGCTATAAAAAATATTTTGGGCATTGATCCAAGAAAAGTTAATCCTCCCGGCCCCTTTTTTATCCACAGTAAGGCCTCTGTATTTCTTTACAAATTTGAGACGAGCTGAACGTTGCTTGACGGACTGAGGAAACGTTTTTTTGCCATCTCAGGGATCTCAAATCTTTGCTTTTTATGAACCTGATCCATACTTAGCTTGCTAACTGTTGTGACAGCTACCTTGTCGGGGGTTTCCTCTTTTGTACCTAGCCTCTATGAAATTATTTAAGTGGTTTTATTGAGGACGCTTGTTCCTCTCTTTCGTTTCTTGTCTTTAAACCCTACCTCACCTACCTGGGGTCTCCCACCTACAATTAAACAGGCCCTTAATAACGTGACTCATTACATGGCAACTTACGTTGCTTACATAAGGTAATTTCCATAGAAAAGCCATTTAGTAGAAATTCACTTTAATATCATTTTTTTTTTAATGGCTGCAAACGCCAGATAATCTTAAAGTCGTTCTTAACACACTTTTAGTTCTTATTCTTTTTGATGCTAAAAAAGGCGCTAAACTTTTCCTAACTGTGGACACCGTTGGGCTGTTATACATTGATAACACGTTAGGTCGTAGAAAATGGATCATAAACTATAAAGTAATAAATTTTAGAAATTCGCATTCGTTGACCCTTCTATAATGTTTGAAGCAGTATTTCCTGTTAAAAAAATAATAATAAAAATAATAATAATTATAATCAATTGGAGTAACGGTATAACGTCCATGTTATCAATAAAAGTAACGGTAAACACCACTGTACTTGCTGTATAAGGATGTTGGTGTGAATGGTGGAGACAAGTTGAAGTACGGCCACAAGTGCGTAAAAATAAATTGGAACA